TACCTGTGGATGGCAGTGCAACTGCAGACCATGGCCTTGGAAGTCGACTTGATAGCGCAGGGGGTTCCACGATGCTTGCTGATGAATCACTGTTCCCTCCACTGCCTGGGTCAAGTAACAAGTGTTCTGCTTCAACACAACAGGGGCTGCAAGGTCTTCCTAAGACCACTCTTGCATCAAGGCTTCAACAGTCTAGGAAGGGCACCGTGAAGGTACTATATTCTGGTCGGCCTCAAACTGCTCAAAATCCTGAGATAGTACCTCATGCTTCCACTTCCACCCACACATGTCCTACACCTGAGCGGGAGCGGAATGGCAGTGCAACTGCAGAGCATGGCCTTGGAAGTCGAGTTGATAGTGTTGCAGGGCCTTTACAGTCATCAAGTGTCAGTTCGGCCAGTTCTCGTCGTCGAAGCTTAGGGAATGGTCGCGTGCTTGAACAGTTGTCTTTTCCTCATCTTCAAGGCCGGGATATTCCTGATGCTAGGATGGATGCTGTTTCAGATGAAACCTCGTTTGCTCCCCTCTCGGAGCATCAATCAAGTAATACGCTGGCTCTTAATCAGAGCTCAAGGGGTTCTGAGAGGCTTGGTGATGTGTTCCTTCCATTGCCTGGGTCAAGTAACAAAGGTTCTGCTTCAACACGACATGGGCTGAAACCTTTTGCTAAGAACACACTTGCATCAAGGCTTGAACAACCTAGGAAGGGCACCGTGAAGGTACTAAATTCTGGTCGGCCTCAAACCGCTGAAAATCCTGAGATAGTACCTCATGTTTCCACTTCCACCCAGACATGTCCTACACCTGAGCAGGAGCGGGATGGCACTGCAACTGCAGAACATCATGGCCTTGGAAGTCTAGTTGATAGTGTTGCAGGGCCTTTACAGTCATCAAGTGTCAATTCAGCCAGTTCTGGTCAAAGCTTAGGGAATGGTGGCGTGCTCGAACAATTGTCTTTTCCTCTTCCTGGAGACCAGGATATTCCTGATGCTAGGATGGATGCTGTTCCTGAAAAAACCTCGTTTCCCCCCCTCTCAGAGCATCAACCAAAGCATGCACTGGCTGTTAATCAGAGCTCAAGGGGTTCTGCGAAGCATCAAGCAAAGCATGCACCGGCTGTTAATCAGAGCTCAAGGGATTCTGCGAGGCTTGGTGATGAATCATTATTCCCTCCATTGCCTGGGTTAAGTAACAAGGGTTCTGCTTCAACACAACAGGGGCTGCAAAGTCTTGCTAAGAACACATTTGCATCAAGGCTTCAACAACCTAGGAAGGGCGCCATGAATTCTTGTCGGTCCCAAACCACTGAAAATCCTGAGATAGTGCCTGATTTTTGCACTTCCACCGAGGCATGGCCGACGCCTGATCAGGGGCTACATCTCTCTGGGTCTTCTCACCTTCAGACTGTACCTCAATCGACAAGAGATAATGGGCTCGTGCCACCTGCCTCCAGTGGTTCAGCATGGAATTCCAGAGCTCCAATCAAGATGAAGCACTCTGTTTCTACCCCTAATCTTGTTTCTGGTGGGTCCTCTACCCAGGCATCATCAAGTACAGCTTACGGCAATAAACACCAAGTGTCACCTCAAAGCAGCCAGCCTTTGCCTCTTGCGGAGGATGTTCGGCAAGCGAACAACGCCCTCGTGGAAAAAATGCGTGCTGCATTTGGAATGGATGAGGATAGGTTCTCTGCGTTTAAAGAAATTGCTTCTGAATACCATCACGGCGTCATTGGTACTTCGGAGTATCTCTCCTATGTGGAGCAGTTTGGTATATCGCATCTTGTTCCTGAAATGGCTATACTGTTGCCTGATCCTCTGAAGCAGACCGAACTTGCTGAGGCCTATTACGCCAACATGCGCCCTAAAAGCCTGAAAGAAAATGGCAGTTTTGAAACCATTACCTTGAAAGAGAAATTGCTTCAGGAAGGAGAGGCTGCAGTGCTTTCAAAGGATGGGTACCGATCTTCCAAGGAAAGAACCCCACTATCTGCTGGAGGTGATCAAGTTGCCATTTCAAAGGCGTCTAGCACCAGTAGGTATGTGGGCAAGGGTGGAGGAAGCAGCAGCAGTAATAACAACAGTAAACAATCAAAGAAGACGTCAAAGTTTCTCAGAGCTCGGTTGGGCGACAACTCATTGGCTATGCTTGATTTTCGTCATCCTGATGATGTGAGCCCTGAAAGAAACGTTTGGAAGAAGGGTGTGGCGCAGAAGCTCTTTTCTGGCAATGCAAAGAAATAGCATCATTTTGCGCAGATCTGGTTTGATGCATCCGTTCAGCAGCTGGTTGGCGGTAAATGTGCACATTTTGTGATGTGTGTTTGGCTGCTTGGAGAAGGTGTCGTCTATGTAGAAGGTCGTTTCGTTTGAGTCTAGTTTCGTTTCGTACTGAATTTTTGCTGGTTTAAAACCTCAGAGGTGAGGATGGAACTTGAAATAGTACCGCAGTGTCATGTTCGTGGCTAGCTATAACTTTGTGGAAGTGTAGACTGTATATTGCACGAATTCTACCAATGATTTTGTGTCCTTGAAGAAAAAACTCTCTATAGCAAGTTTACTCAGGGTTCGCTCAGAGTTTTTGCCTGTTTTTTCCGTTAAAATGCGAAAATTTGAAATACATAACGAAAGTTTACTAAACTACATGAATATTAAAAGAATCAAGATTTTTTCCTAAAAGCGTAGTTTCAAAAAAAAATCCATGTATGTAGAGAAGTTCAGAATGTAAAAATGACGTAAATTTAAACAAAAAGTAAGAAAAAGAAAAGGAGCAAAAAAAACCGTAAAGGGAACCCCTGAGAATAAACGAGAAAGAGAGCACAAAAGAAAACCGCCAGAACCAAAGAAAATTTGTCACATTGCCCCGTATGTTCTCCCCGCAATCTGACGCAATGAGCATCACATAGCAAATTCTGTGACGAGGCATGTATTTTGGCTAGAGTTTTCCTTTTCTTTTTCTTGCGGGGAAAATGTCTAGTAGTTGTGGTAAGCCGATACACATGTCATGACGGTGGAACGTCCAGCGTGGTGTCTCATGTCATGTGCAAGGTGTTTACATATGTTTGTGAAAACAAAACTGATTTGTTCTTATGTACATGTGTTTATTTACATGCCACATTCAGATGAAACGTGTTCTTTCTTATTTGTTCCACTAGCCATTTGTTCATTCGAAGAGCTCTTCTAAGTACTGTTCAATACTCCCTTCGTTCCTAAATAGGAGTATAATCTTTGTATAGATTTCATTATGTACCACATACGGATGTATGTAGATGCATTTTGGAATGTAGATTTACTCATTTTGCCCCGTATGCAGTCCATAGTGGAACCTCTACAAAGACTTATATTTAGGAACGGAGGGAGTATCAGTCATCCATTGATCGAAGGTAATTTTCGCTATGCGGAATTCTATCATGTTATTTTGAATGTGTTCAAAAGGAATAAATATTTGTTTCTAATACTCCATGTAAGGGTGCCCGCATGTATTTTGAGCCTGATTTAGACCATCACTGTGACCAACAAAATGTTATTTATGTGACAAAAAAAAAGTACACCATTCAATTCATACGGGAGAGAAGTTTCCAATAGTATAATACATATTTATTCATCTATAAAACAAACCTAGATATTGTGCTGGCTATAAAAAGAACGTAGATATTTGGCTGTGACTTTGATCACAGGGGGATATAAAAGTCCATCTGGCTGAATCTCTTTGAGAGACGAGGCATTTTTCCTCTCTCTGTTTTTCCAGATAACCTGGGTCTGAAACCACAGTGAAGTTACGAAACCACGAGAAAAGAAAAGAAATAATTTATGCATGCTTAAACTTAAACCCACCAAGGTGTCAGAGGTTTGAACAAATTTGAAGCAACCTATGCAGGGTACTCAAACAATCACCACAAAGCAACTAAAACAGCTTTCCAGGTGTCATCAAAGTTTACTTTATAGTAGTCTTTAGATGCTACTCCTTATTACAGAAGTTGTACTTGAAAGAACGAAATAAACGTTGGACTTCAGCAATTTAATCAGGTCAGGCTTGAGTGCCTGAGTCTGGCCGGGTTGAGGACACGAGTTCATGTGAACAGACATGATGGGCAGACGCGCGATCTCAGCTGACAACACGCAGAGTACCTTATGGTGAATCATTCATGGACATGGGCGTCTGGATAGAGAAGCCATAGTAGACGGTCTGAACTACAATTCATGCTGGAAATTGAAGCCTGTGGAAACAACAACAGGAGACCCAATGAGCACATGAAAGTCCTCGCCAATTAGCGAGTGACACTGAAGTGCAGGAAAACTGTACAAGAAATTCACTTGGATGGTCGGACAAAGATGCAACTTGATCTTGTTCGCAAAAAAAAAGAAAGATGCAACTTGATCTATTTTATTGTAATGCTCAAACGATGTATTGTTAACATGAAAACTAGTCAGAAGTTTTAACTTGTCATTCGACAATTTCCCTCGAGGCCTGGACCTCCAACAAACTAAAGAGCACCAAATTGAACTTTCTCATTGTGAAGACAAGATGAGAACCCTCAATAAAATGTCCATGTTTTTAGCAACATGATGGATTTTGATAATCAATCAAGCATTATCATGTTACTTGACAGCAAATGCATGTAGCTACAGCCACCAAGCACCTCTTGCAGCTGTAGTTGTTGCCCCAGGAGATGGCATCACCATGTTTGATGCTTGGTATTGATCATGAGCAGGCTAAATGGTCGACCAAGATGCGGCATTGTGAATGAAAGGTGTGTGGTGTCATAGTGGCATTGACAAGCCAAAGGATGTAAACATGTTGCATGCACTTCTTCTTTGGCCTAGGTTTACATTTCACTGAAATAAGTTAGGTGGTCTTCCGTTTTTCATTTCTAACCTCACCCAATGGTTGTTTCCAAATTCAGTTTTATTTTGTGATTTAATTGACTGGAAAAATAATAATGTCATACATGCTGACTACATAAACATTGTAACAGTAAAATGTGGTTATAGTCACTTACGTTAAGAAGTATACTTCTCTTTAAAGTTTATTAGTTCCGAATATACTCCATGGAAAGCAAGGACCTTCAATAATAGGTGAATCCTTTTATCACCTTTCACATGATTGATTTCGACTGCCTTGAGATGCTTTGATACCAAGAATTTGTCCTTTGGCTTGTAGGTTTCAGTCGTGGTATCATACCATTGCTGTTGCAAACAAAATAGTTGACTGAAATGAACCAGCAGTACGTGGCAATTTCAAAGACAAAGCATCTATCATACATAGAAGAAGAAGAAGAAGAAAAGAATTCATACCTTAGATAAAGTACAGTGTTCAAGGGTAAGCCTCTCTAGAATCGGTGAGTGCTTGAGAAAGAAAACTAGTCCATGGAAGTACTGAGCCATACACCAGTCACTGAGCAACAATGTTTTTAGCCTGCTAAACATAGGGCACCATTCTATATCTGTTCTGAAAATCTAGACGAGGTGAAGAATTAAAGGACAATTGAAGCTCTAACTTCAAGTGCAAGATTTAATAATACCAAGGTGAACAGAAAACAACAAACGGCATTAGCAAAACAGCAAGCATATAATGAACTGGAAAAGAGTGTGAGCATACCATAAAGTATTCAGCTGTCAACTCTAAATTCGTAGCGCCCGACAAACCTTCAAGAAACACAAAATCAGCTATACCATGGCACACCACACATTGCTCATGACCACAGTACCCATTGAAACTATTTCCGCAAGAACCCTTCAAGACATATTCGGTGTTTATAAATGCCGCAACTAGTGATGGCAAGCTCTTAAACAACGGGGTCCAACCATGACAGTCAGCAACTTCCAAGGTAACCAGACCTGGCGCAGAAGTAAGACAGGGGGAATCCTGAGAGCCAAAACTTGTATCTCTGATTGTCAGATGCTTTAAGGATTTCGGTAAGGCAGTCCCGATGTTGATTACACACTCGTGCATCTCCAGCACCTCAAGTGACTGACAGCCGGAAACATCCAGAGAGAAATCCTCAAACTCGACGCAACGAAGAATTAATGTTGTCAAATGCTCCGAGATGAGAGCCCCGGCAGATAGCTGCAACGGATCATGACCAGCTAGGATTTCAAATCGGAGAACCCTCACTTTGTGAGGCACGGCATAACGGAGCCACAGCTCAAAGTCTTGGTGAAACTCCTCCGAGCGCCGATCATCGTCAAAAAGGATCTCACATTCGTGCAGAGGTGTTGGGCCACGGCAGCGAAGAAAGCTATCGATGAAACGCTTCAGGTCCTGGCAACACCGGTAGGCCTCATCATCGGCATCGACGCGAAGAGACGGCACGGACTTCCAGAGGGTGCGCCAGCGGGTGGCGAGCACGCACGTCCGCACGGCTTGACACGAGGGCAGGAGCGACAGCACGAGATGGATCACATCTTCCGGCAGCGTGCTTAAGCGGTCCTCGCCAGCAGCCACAGCCGCTTTCTTGCTGCAGAGCCTCTCTGCCATTCCGTCGAACAGGTGGCGCGAAGCTGCCAATGAGATGGACACCAAATGAGCAGCCAAACGAGGCAGGAAAGGTGGAAAATTGCCCGATGACTCGCCCCGCGTCGACTTAGGTGCCTCTGTGATGAAGCACAAACTAGCGAGATGCTAATTCGCGCGTTTAGATGGCCCGATCTTTCACGACGATCCTTGATCAACTGTTCTTCCACCTGGTCCCTCAACCTCCAATAATAAGATTCACCCGTGTATGAAAATACACGAACAAAAATAACGATCCCCTCGAATCAGCACGTAGGCGTCGATATGATGATCAACCCTTCGTCGCTAATAGATTTTTTCGATGGAAAAAATCACAGAAAATACTCACAATTGGGCCGTTCGAAACATGGACGTTTTCTGAGTTTTTTCATAACTCACGGATAAACAAAAACTGATCTGATTACAAGGCCGTAGCCTGGCTTTTTATATGCCAAAAAATAGTACGTCAACTCTAGACCTAGATGCTTAGACTCCAACTCCCTCACGTCATGTGCTAACTAGGAAAAACAAATCCTAACAAGAAAAGGAAAAGGACTCACGTACGTGCTAGCTAGCTAGCTCGTTGACTCAAACAAAAGGATAAGAATCTAACAAATCTGCACCAGGATTCTACCTATCGCAACTTGATACGGAGGGGTACGAAAATTAGGCTCCACCGAAGCCAGCGCTGGCTCTGCCTTAATCTCCTGTATTTTCTTGTAAGATGCATGGTGCCGTTCTGATTCCTTTTTATTCTGAAAACCAATTTGATCTCCTGCCATTTTATGCGTATGTGACTTTTCTTCTCTCTTCACTTTGATCAAACATAATTGTACACCTTTAGACTCCATGCGTATAGGCCTCTGCACTAACGTGCCAATGACATCTCCTGGTTTCAATGCATGCATCATATAATTGGTCTCTGGTCTGCTAATTGCCAAATTGATTCTCGGCCCACAAAGTTCACGTACATGACCATCCTTTCCTCGATGAAATCTGACCGCTTGCATGGCATTAGTTTCCGTAACATTTTTATGACCTCTCTGCTTAACTGCCTTAGCTTCGATAGAATTAACAATTGATGATGCCATGCCCGTATCACTCTGTTCGCTGCTTCCGGAGGAGAATTTCTTAGTATGTGACACCTTGAAAAAAGAAACAAGTGTACATCAGAGGTAGAATGGTATGCAGCAGTTGACAAACATTGGAATGTGGCTTGTCAGAAATGCCCAGAAATCTGAAAAATGCCTGAGAGCACAAACATAAATAAATACAAGAAATTAAAGCCATCAAACTGACCTGAAGTGCGGAATTCACTTGGGACAGAATTCATTCACCAGCCCTAGACATCCTTGTATATATAAACTGGTGAAAACTGAAGAGCAAACATCCATGCCTTAATGTGCTGCACGAACTAGGAATAAAACGGCGACAAGAACTGACTGGATGTTGCTGACCTCATGGCTGCCTCTGCTCCATGCTCATCAACGATGGCGCTCCTCTTAGAATTAACCAAGTACTCCTAAGCGAGCCGTGAAGGGACCCGATCGAGGCGAGAACCTCTCCAAGGCACCATCCCCGCGCCGGCTGCCGGGGAAGACTGGAGACGGAGCGGGTGGGCCGTGCGGGAGGCGGCGGCGTTCCGTTCAATCTCGATCGGATTGGGAACGGTGACCTGCAGTGTGGTCTTGGGCTGTAATAAGCACCGGCTGTACTGGGCCTCCTTTCATTTTCTCCCTGTGCATAAAATAAAAGTTTTTCCTCCAAAAGCCTTGGTGGGCTACGGCCCACGAGCTGGCTGCGCCGCACTCGTCGCCGTCGGTGGTGGAAAAAAAAAGAAAAAAAAAGCACTCCTCGTCGTCGGTGGTGGAAAAAAAGGAGGAAAACCGTGCAGTCGGTCAGTGGATTCACCAGCTTGAACTGTCGCTAGCGTGCACCGGAAGTACCTATTGGCTACCACAAATCTTATTCCTACGTACGAGTATTATACTTTTACGAAAAGTTTACCTACTATTCCTATTCGTTGGTTACTGGGAGTCGGACTAGGTAAATCCGATCCTTCAAATGCCCGCGAACGTCACTAGGTACATCCAGATCATTATTCATACTAGCAGAACGCCCGTGCGTTGCTACGGGCTATCCGCAATATCTGTAACATCCGGGTTCAACACAAAAACCCTATCCAATGATGCACCTTCCCTTTTTTCTGTCGGAACCTCTCATTCTTGACCGATTTTCCGCCGTAGCGAGACATTTCTCGTTTTTTCTCTCACTGGCGCCACCTCCATTAAAAGCATATGACAGCCAACTCATCTTCGCCATGCATTGCAGTAAGGATGAAAATTTCTTGTTTACGATATAATAGAGTGGGTTAAACTAACACATACTATTAACACAAAACAACAAATAACTACAGAGATCTTTCCTAGTCACCAATAAGCTCCACCTCCATCCATATATGCTAGAAGGGATAATTGTCGTTCTTCTCTTCTTCATGTTTCCCTACGTCTTCTACTCCATGCCTCTTCGCCAATCCGTTTAATTGGCACCAACCAGCACCACGTCAACATTAATGTGTTCATCATCGATGCCTCATCTTCTTCTTTCTCATTCCTCGCCAACTTTAGTTCTCGTTCCTACTTATTTCCTAGAATACTCTTTCTTTCTTTTTGTTTCTCTTATTATTTGAAACACTCTTACTTTCTCCAACACCATCCACCACTTTGGCTTCAGTTCTTTTTCCTTCTTGTTTTTGGAACACTCTTCCTTTTTTACTATAGCATGAACCACCTAGCTAGTGTTGTGTCATGTTGTCCTCACCCGCGAACATTTCGGCCACCGTCATCGAGTGGACATCCCGCGGAGCATAGACTTCATCCATCTTGGTGAATGCTAGGTCGCCCATGTCGCGAGCGCATGGTGGCCGGTGTCCATGTTGGCAAGCGGTGCTCGGTGGTTTGCAATGTAACTGAGAGCCCGTTGATTGTTTTTGCCCACAAGCGCTTTCAAAATGATTCACCATGACTAATTGCTTGCTTAAGTAATTAAGTACACAAAAAATGAACGCCTAATTAATTGCCAACCAAATGAATTAATTATCTGACTAATTGGAAATATCCCTACTTCTAATTATCTGTAGGCGTTGGCTAACAAATTAATTAATTGCATTAATAACTCAATTTTTAAATTGATTCAGTGCGAAAAAATTCATATTCAAATGGACCTAATTAATTGCATATGTAATTAACTATCTAGATGATTAATTACATCAATGGTTTGATTTTCAAATTGGTTTAGTGCTTGATTTCTAAATTATTACCATATAATTATCATATTCGAAATTTTCTGAGTCATGACCTTACCATACCTGGATTGATGAGATTTCTGAGTTTATAGCCTTTGCATACGTGGATTAATTATGATTGATTACCATAAATACGTTGGGTATTGCCGGCCAGACAAGAGAAGAGGAAAACCGATGGAAAGGGGTGGTGGGAGGTGGGACAAAAAAACCAGACAAAAAATAACCGGTTGCTACGGACTATAGTGCATATAAGTGAATCAAACAAATGATTAAGTTTGTCCTCAAGGTCGAAGCTCATTTCTCCCAGTCTGGGCTCCCCAAATCCAGACCATATGTGGGGAAGAAATGTGGTTGTCTTATTTTCAACATGTGGGCTCAATACAGAAACCCTGTCCCATGACACACCCTTTCCTTTTCCTAATAGAGCCCTCTCCTTTAAAATTGAGTGATGCCCCCCGCTCTCCGCCCTAATCCCCTCCCCTTGTGTATGTGCTTATCCACCACCAAGGCGTGCACCGAGTCCGTGCGGATTCCTAGTTCTTTCATCTCTATGTTCGATCAGACATTGGATTACAAAGATCCATCGTGAGTTGTAAGAAGCCAATTAGCAAGTTTAAAATGGACCAAAAGTGAATTTATTCACATAGTGCTGGATGCCCATGTGTTGCCACATGCTAAAAAAACTATATGTACAACAAGAAATGTGCTAACAAAATGTTTTTACAAAAAGAAAGGTTGTGTGATATGAGTCATATACTATTTACATGTGATGATATCTCATGCTCATGATGTGGTAGATAAATGCATCTCCTCGTCATCTTCATGCCCCTCCCTCTTCTCAGCCGCCACATGACACGCCACTTCCTCCCACAATCCTTCTTCTTGTTGTTTTCTTCCCCCACCTCCACCTTGCATCAAAATATTAAATGCCTAAGCTGTGGAACAGTACAACCAGAGAAAATAGCAGTCAAAGGGAGGAATTAGCTAGTTAGATTGTAGATGCATGCATGAGTCAGCCGGCGCAAGGGAAGTTGCGCGGAGCGCCATGACGAACTCGGAGTCTAGGCCCGAGCCGTTACGCCTCGGCGGCAGACAGCGGCCAGCACAGCCGCTGCTCGCTGGGTCGCTACTCGCTAGTGCCCACCGCGCTATTGAATCCGCCGCTGATTGTAGCCACTGCATACAGTGTTCGCGCCGCCATGATGGTGCCCGACGAGGACGGCACAGGGCAGCGGAGTCGTGCATATCCAGCGGTGAGATCGAACAGCGAGGCGAGGTGACCAGCAGCGAACGGGCAGGGCCTGCGGCGTCGGCTGCAGATCTCCTAGAACAGAGAAAAAGAGAGAGAGGTAGAGACTGAGGAAGGAGAGGTAGGGCGCAGGAAGAGGAGAGGGATACTGATGTCCATGGCGAGGCCTCCGTTGTCTACCGGCAAACCTTCATGGCTAAGGTAAGGTGCACCTACACCCGTAACACACCAGCATGACCTGATGGTGAACGGCTTCACGTGATGAGCGCGGGGCTGGCAATCACCATTTCCTGGTCCTCCTCGCTGATGCATAACGGGCACGCATCGTTGCCTGGGTCGCTCACCATGAAGAAGAAGATAGGGTGGAGGAATTGAGCGAGGGATGAGGAATCAAGCGGCTTGTACGGCAGGGGGCCAAACCATGATAAAAAT